TAATTTTTTAAAAGTTCTTATATACAATATAACACTGCTTATCCAGATTAAATAAGGGGAAAAAAAGTCTGAATTATTTACTTCAAGAATATAAAGTGGAATAATTATAATAGCTTTTATAATTCCAAGCTTTAAATCCAAAGCTAATTTGTTCCAAGCTAATATTGTTCTAAGATCTTTAAAAAATATTCACTGACAAGAGTGATTCTCAAACTTTTTAGTCTCAGAACTCTGTTTACACTATTAAAAAGTATAAAGGCCCTCAAAGAGCTTTTGTTTATGTAAGTTATATGGATCTATATTTACCATATTAGAAATTAAACCTTAAATTTTAAAAATATATATTTATCAATTCATTTAGAAATAAAGTCATTATATGTTTACACAAATATAATTTTAGGAAAAATAATTATATTTTTCAAATCAAAAAATAAAGTTAGACGTATGACATCATTTTACATATTAATAAATCTCTTTAATGTCTGGCTTAACAGAAGACAACTGGATTCCCATATCTAGTTCTGCATTCAATATGTTGTAATATTGCACATCATGGAGATTTGGAAAACTCCAATATACACTCATGGAAAAAATGAGAACAAAAATAGCAAGTACTGTCTTAGATTTATTATGAAAATAGTTTTGACTTCACAGACCTGAAAGGTCTTGGGAACACTTTGAGAACTACCTATACTACTAATCCAATGAGGCAAATGTAAGAACAAAGGCATAAACAGAATGATTAAGTTACACTCACAGAACTGGGATTGGAATCCAGGAAGTCTGCTTCCAGACCTCTGGGCTGCCCCTCACAGGTCAGAAGAAAGTAGCAGGGGCTCATTTCATAGTGTTTTAAACTGTGGTGAGCAGCTTGAAAGTCACAACACCAGACCTTCCCTTTCTAAGATGATAAAATTAACTCTTTCAATTTGTACAACGCAGAGAGAAGGGGAAGGGAGAGAAGCCAGCACTAAACTCTAAGATCTAGACCCCAAAGGGGCCTAGGTCTGCCCTACACGGGCAATGACAGCCCACCTCCACCTGAATGATAATGCACACTGGGGGAGGAACAGCCAGTGCCCTGATGTCTCTCAAGGAACAGTTCTCGTTCCTGTCCACACCAGCCATTATGCATCCTTACTCCATTCAAAGATACTTCTTTACATCACTCAAACTTGTTTTTCCTTTTATTTTTAGTCGATACATAATAATGGTACGTGTTTATGAGATACAGAGGGATATTTTGATATGTGTATATAATGCGTAATGATCAAATCAGGGTAATTAGCATATCTATCACCTCAAATATTCATTATTTATTCATGCTATGAACATTCAAAATCCTCTCTTCTAGCTTTTTGAAAGTAGTATATAATAAATTATAGCTAAACATAGTCACCCTACAGTACTGCAGAACACCTGTCTAGCTGTACTTTTGTATCCATTAACCAACCTCCCCCATTCTCTCCTTCTCCCTGCCCTTCCCAGCCTATGATACTCACAGTTCTCCTCTCTACTTCCATGAGCTCAAAACCTTTTAGCTACCACATATAAGAACATGCAGTATTTATCTTTCTGTGCCTGCCTGACTTAACATAATTTCCTCCAGACGCATCCATATTGCTGTAAATGACAAGATTTCATTTCATTGATTGATTGATTGATTGATTGATTGTCTCACTATGTACAGCCAAGCAGGAGTGCAGTGACACAATCACAGCTCCCTGTAGCCCCAAACTCCTGGGCTTAAGCATCCTTCTACACCTCAGCCTCTCAAGTGGCTGGGACTACAGGCATTTGCCATCATGTCTGTATTTTTTAATTTTTCTGTAGAGACAAGGTCTCTTGCTATGTTGCCCAGACCAGTCTTGAACTCCTGAGCTTAAACAATCCTCCCGCCTTGGCCTCCCAAAGTGCTGGGATTATAGGCATGAGGCACTACACCTGGCCTGGTTTTGCTCTTTTTATGTACACTACTCAATTTTTACACAGAATACTGCTTTCAATTCTTAATTAAAATGTTTAAAAATAAGAGTAGTAAAAAGACTAGTTCTATCAGATATTAAATTATTTTATAAATTGTTAGCAGTTAATATAGTATTGAATTAATATAGAACTGAAAGGTAAAGTCATACATAAGAATGCAACCCAAATTAAAACTGATTATACAAAAATGTAGCATATTATGAAGAAGGCCTAACAATAAGTAAATAAAATAAAATGTTTAGTAAACTGAAAAAAAGGCCTATTAGACCTTCACTTTTAATCATTAACCAAAATAAAATTCTAAATAGATTGACTGCTTTTACTAATGGAGAAAGAGCCGAGGCTAGAAAAGGCTGGAGCAGATATTCATCATTGCATTCCCACAGCCTCCCCTGGGGCTGGTACAGCTGGAAAATGCTGCCCCAAAAGAATAAACTGATTTGAATTCCAACTTTACTGCTAACTCATTATGTGATCTTGGGCAAGTCTTTCTGCTTCTCTGTCCTTAATTTCCAATTTATAAAGAGTGATGGTAATGATACCAGCAGCATAAGACACTCACTATAAACTTTAAAGTGCTATACAAATTAATATAAAGAGAAAAGCTTAGAAAGCTGCAGTTGTCCATGTTGCTACTCCTCAAACAAACTTAGCGTCAACATTTTAAAGGTAAAGACCATGCCAATTTTCTTTGTAACCATCTTTATTTAATAAAGAAGACCACTTAAGTTGTAAGAACATATACTTTCCTTCAGGGTCTCAGTAAAGTTATTTTCACTTCGAAGGGAAAAAAGATGCAGCGCATAAACATGTTTATTTTTTCCTGAGTTGGTCCTTTTACCAAAAGAGACTTGGTATTACTGCTCTAAGAGATTGGGGAGATTTTTCTTTCACTGCTACTGTTAGGGATATCTCAAGGCAGAAGGTAAGCCCATGATGTCCTTGAAGGGAAGAAGTGGACAGGGGAGAAATGCGAGGGTGGGCAATGTAGCACAGCAAAAGACTTGGAGTTAGAAAAACCCTGATGTGACACTGAGCAAACAGTTATCTTCTCCTTGTCTCCCCAAACTGGAGATATCAATACTTACCACACAAATAAAAAGATTAAAATGAGGAAATGGGCCAGGCATGGTGGCTCAAGTCCATGATCCCAGCACTTTGGGAGACCAAGGTGAGAGAACTGCCTGAGCCCAGGGGTGCGAGACCAGACTGGGCAACTTGGTGAGAACTCGTCTCTACAATAAATCAAAAACATCAATCAGGCGTGGTGGTGTACACCTGTAGTTTCAGCCACTTGAAAGGCTGAGGCGGAAGGACTGCTTGAGCCCAGCAGGTCGAGGCTGCAGTGGCCATAAGCGTGACACTGCACTCCAGCTTGAGCAACACAGTGAGACTCTAACTCAAATTAAAAAAAAAAAATGAGGAAATGCACACTAAACCCCTAGCTCCCAACCACAGGTTGTTTGTCAGAGAGCAAGTGAAGTAAGTACTTTCCCTAACTTCTCTAACAATATAACAATACTTCTCTCCTCTGCCCTCAGGAAGAGAACCCTTCAATGAGAGAGGTCTGCGACCAAGGCACTTGCCATTCATATATTTAGTCATTCAAATTGCAGGCCAGAACTGCATGCTCCACACCCCTTCCCAAACCCTATCACCACCACACCCCATCCCTGCTGGGCCCTCACCGGTTACTCTGGTGCTCCTCAGAGTGACATTTCATAGACTGCAAAGTGACCAGAGCCACCTGGAGCTGCACAATGCTGCAGCCCTGCACACTCACCCTTCCTGGCAATGGCTGAGACACACAGGCCTACTACAGTGAAGGTGCAAGAAAGATGAACTTGACTGTATTCTCTACCTTACCCACTCCAGTAAGGCCCATAAACATAGTTGAGGTATAAAACAAAACTTTATAAGATGTTACTATAAAGTAATGAAAGTGACTATACTTAGTCTTGTACCCTCAGGTGTGAGAAACTAAGAAATATCATAATGAAGTCTCATGTTGTTCATTCAGTTTAGCTAAGGTTTAAAGCACTAAGTCCCCTGACTAGTACTGGAAGTGATGGCACTGGTTTATAAGCAACAAATAATTCCTTTTCAGCACCATTTTAAAATCACTTCCCACTGCTTTGCTGGTCTCTGTGCTAGGTTCTGAGTTTGAGATTGTAATCCCATCAAATAACCTTCATTTAAGCCTGGTCTCCTGGTAGAATGGTTTCACTGCCTTTCTGTGATATGTGTGGCACAAATTTACAATTCATAGTAGACTCTAATCTCCTCTACCTTTTGCCTTTTGTTGTTGCCATTTTTTGTCTCAAGCTATGTCCTCTATTTCAGATCTATCATGTCTTTCTATCATCTTTTCTCATAACCCTTTGAGTTGGAGTCTCATGTCTCATCTTTTCTCAGGTCCCTTCCCTGATTTGTACTTTTCTCTATTTTTTAACACCTTTTGACTTACTATGTTTTACCAAATATGTACAAGGTTATATATCTTCCTCAATAAAAATAGCTCTATGGAAATATAATCAATCAGGGAAAAGACATGTCGTTCATCTTCTGTTTTGGTTCTTTTTTGCTATTTTTCAGGGGAGTGTACCATTGCTTAAGCATTATTAATCTTTCTTTGTAATATCTCATTCATGGCTTGATAATACATATCTATGTATTTTAAAAAGTAAATTCTATTCATTCATTCAACAACTATTTACTGAGTGCCAACTATGTGCCAAACACTAAAGCTACGGTGGTGTTCATCTCATTCACAAAGTTTACAATGTATAGGTTGGAACAGGAAACACAAATACAGTATATTCTTTTCACCAGATTATGAAGAACAAGAAGCAATATTTCTCTGAAGTAATAGTTAGCAAAGACCTTTTATACGGCACAGAAAAATAAATCGTATAATACTCTAGAGTACAGTGTAAAAAGAAGAGAAAAAGAGACTTCTATTTTATGAGTTGTACCAATAATTTAGAATTGTTAAAAAATAAATTTTTCCGAACCTCACATCCACTGTATTATTTGACTCATGGTCAAACACTTCAAATGCCTCTTTGATTTTTTTATGAAATTCTGCTGCTGCTAACTCTGCAAAAGACAAAGTAAATAAAAATTATTTTACTTTAATTTTGAATTCAAAACAAAGATTTTAATAAACAAACAAGACATATTAATAAGGAAGAACATGAAGAACTCTTGTCTGATCTTCTTTATATATCACTCAGCATGCTTAATTTTCTCTAGAGATGCCAGAGAATAAAACAGACTATCTTTTTTTCCCCCTGAGGCATAATATATATGTTATAAAAGTACACTAATCTTCAGTACACAATAGGTTTTTATATATGCATATATTCATGGAACCACCCAGATCAAGATAATGGAATATTTCCGGCACCAGACTATCTATCTCAAGTAATTTGGGTAAAGTCCTAGCCTGAGAGGCAGAGTATATCCAATACAACAAAAATTGTTTGCTTATCAATAGTGTACCCTGCCTGCTCTGCCTTATTCTGTGCTTGGGGAGAACGGAAGTTGGGGGATGAAAGGTATAAAAACCAACATGTGACACTCCTTCAAAGAGCTTCCAAACTAATTTTGGTACTTAAACTTACTTACACACAACAGTAATATATAAAATAAATAATTATTTAAGTACTTACTATGTGCTGGACACTCTTCTAGGTGCTAATGGCAAGGAATAAGGCAAACAAAAAAATCTCTGCCTCCATAGGGCTATTTTTATTGGGGAAGATATATAAGTTTGTATTATTTGGTAAAATACATAGTCAAGTGGAGCAAAAAAATAGAGAAAAGAATAAATCGGAGAAGGGACATTAGGAGTGCTGGGGTGTGAGTGGGGAAGAATGAGGTGATATGGTTTGGGAAGGCCTGCTTCAGTAGTAAGGTGACATCTGGATGGAGGGGAAGGCACCCACTTTGTGAATATCTGCTGCAAGAGTTTTTAGGCAGACAAAACAGTAAGTGCAGAATAGCAAGAAATACAATTAGAAAAGTGTAAGTTTGATGGTGAGGGCAGATTCTAAAAGGGTCTTATGGTCTACTTTAAGGATTTTTGGCTTTTACTGAGTGAGATGAGAAGCCACTGATAGGCTGTTCTAAACAATGAAATTACATAGTCTGCTTATATTCACTTTGGCTCTTATGTTGAGAATACACTGGAAAAGAACAAGGGTAGAAGCAGAGAGATGAATCAGGAGGTTACTGCATTATTCCAGGTAAGAGATTTGAGCCAGAATGGTATTGGTGGAGGTAGTGATAAATAATATGATTCTGGATATATTTTAAACAGCAGAGCCAACAAGATTTGCTGATAGATTTGATGATAGGGGCCGGGAGGAAGAAAAGGGTCAAGGTTGACTCTAAGGTGTTGGCCAAGTGAAAGAAAAAGGAAAACAGTGCAATTGAGTCTCAAAATTTGTCAAATGGTAAGTGCAACAGGACATTCAGAAAGGGAAATAAAAATGAGTTTAGTTAATTATTTTAATTATAAATATAATGCCAGCAAATAGTAGAAAATGAGAAGTTTTTTAATCACTCACATTCTCTTTAGTATCTATATATGTATATATGAAGAAAAGTAGAAGGAAAATACAACAAAATGTAAAGGTTATGTTATATATATATATATCCTCTTTTTAATAACTACTATTCATTCATTCAATAAATATTTGCTGAATAAACACCAGGTACCAGGTTCTGCTCTTCTCCCCACCCTACCTCAACCCTACCTGTTAGAAATTCATAGTATAAAAACTTAACACCTTAGTTACTTCATTCAAATGTTATATTTTCCAGGTTGCAACATAATCTACATAATCTTCCACATTTAACAGTACCAAAGAAATGTATCACAATTTACCGTTATTAGTAATTTGTATTATAAATAACATGTTAGTGAACAATGTTTGCTAATATAATAAATAAGTAAATGTTACCTCATTATTTAAATGTACACGTCTTTGATCACAAGAGTCTGAACAATGATCCATATGTTTGTTTACCACCTCTATTTTCTGCATTATGAATTGTCTCTTCATGTTCTCTGCTCAACCTTGCTGGAATCTTCAATTATGTCTTAACAATTTGTATGAGCTCTTTGAATAATAAAGATTTAACCCTATATCAAAATTACTGGAAACAACTTTCCAGGTCAGTTGTTTGCTTTTGTTTTTCCAAAATGAAAACAGCTTCATTTCTTTTCTGATCATCACAATCATACACAATTACTGGCAGGGAAAAAAAGGAATCTACATGAAAGTTTAAATTAAACTAAAAACATTTCAAAATCTACTACCCAGAGTTAACCTTTTTTTTTTTTGCTGATTCAAAGAATGTTTTTATTTTTTATATTTTATTCTATTGTAGAGATATGGGGTACAAGTGAGGATTAACTACATAGCCCAGGCTGCACACAGGTAAAGTTTGGGCTTCTAACTGGCCCTCACTCACCCTGGTAGTGGACCAGGTATCCTTTATGTTGTCACCTCCCTCCCTCCATCCCTCCCTCCTTCTCTCCCTCCCCTAGCAATGCCCAGCGACTGTCAATCCCTCCCTTGTGCTAATGTGAGTAATGTTCAGGTCCCACTTACAAGAACATGCAGTATTGAGTTCTTTGCTTCTGTGATAGTTCACATAGTATTATGGTTTCCAACTCCATCCAATTTGCTATGAAGATCATGATTTTGTTCTTTATGGCTGTGTAATACTCTACCACGTATATGTACCACATTTCCTTTATCCAGTCTATTATTCAGACTCTTACAATGGGCAGTAGGGTTGGTTCCATGTTTTTGCTATTGTGAATAGTGCAACAGTAAACATGTGTGTGCAGGTATGTTTTTTTGTAGAACAATTTCTGTTCCTTTGGGTATATTCCCAGGAGAGGGATTGCTGGATTGTATAGGAGCTCAATTTTTAGTTCTTTTAGGAATTGTCACACTGCTTTTCATAGCAGTTGAACTAGCCTGCACTCCCACCAACAGTGTTAATATGTTTCCTTTTCTTCACACTCTCACCAGCATGTTTTGTTTCTTTTTTACTTATTCATGATATCTATCCTTATCGGAGTTAGATGGTATTTCATTGTATTTTGATTTGCATTTCTCTGATGATTAGTGAAGCTGAGCATTTTTTCATGTGTCTGTTGGCTGCGTGTATGTATCTATTGATGACATACAAGTGTCTGTTCATGTCCTTTGCCCATTTTTTAATGGGCTTGTTTGCTTTTTTCCTTTCACTTTGTTTGAGTTCCTTGTAAATCCTGGATGTTAGGCCTTTGTCAGATGAATAATTTGCAAATTTTTGCCAATTCTGCGTGTTGTCTTCCCACTCTCTTGTTGGTTTCTTTTGCTGTGCAAAAGCTTTTCAGTTTGATGAGGTCCCACTTGTCTATCTTAGCTTTCATGGCATATGCTTTTGGGGATTTGGTCATTTCCTACTCTGATGTGTAAGAGTAGTTCCTACTTTTTTTTTCTAGGATTCTTATAGTTTGAGGTTTTACATTTAGGTCTTTGATCTATTTAGAGTTGATTTCACTCGTCTGCATGTTGTCAGTCAGTTTTCCTAGCACCATCTGCTAAATATGGTCTCCTTTCCCCAAGAGTTGTTATTGGTTGCTTTGTTGAAGATGAGTTGGTTAAGAAGTGTTTGCTTCCAGAATCTCTGTTCTGTTCCATTGGTCTATGTGCCTACTCTTGTACCAATACCAGGCTATTTTGGTTTCTGTATCCTTGTGGTAAAGTTTAAAATCTGGATGTGTCACACCTTCCACTCATTTTGCTGAGGATTATTTTAGCTATTCATGCTCTTTTTTGTTTCCATAGGAATGTCTGTATTGTCATTTCCAGATCTGAGAAAAATGATGTTGGTAATTTGATGGGTATTGCATTGGTTAACTCTTGATAGCAAGGATGGACATCTTGACAATATTGATTCCTCCAATCCATGAGCATGGAATGTTTTTCCATTTGTTTTCCATACTTGATTCTTTGAGCAGCATTTTGTAGTTCTCATTGTAAAGGTCTTTCACTTCTCTGGTTAGGTGGATGCCAGGGTATTTTTTGTTTGTTTTTGTGGCTATTGTGAATTAAATTGTGCTTTTTATTTGGTTCTCCATCTGCTTGGTGCTGGTGTACAGAAACTCAACTGTCTTTTGTATGATGATTTTGTTTTTTGTTTTGTTTTGTTTTGTTTGAGTTGGAATCTCACTCTGTCGCCCAGACTGGGAGTGCAGTGGCCGCTCCTGGCCACCGCAGCCCCGACCTGCTGGGCTCCAGCAATCCTTCCATCTCAGCCTTTCAAGTAGCTGGAACTACAGGTGTGCACTACCACACCTGGCTAATTTTTGATTTATTGTAGAGATGAGGTCTCGCCAAGTTGCCCAGGCAGGTGTCAAACTTGCAGGTTCAGGCAATCCACTCACCTCAGACTCCCAAAGGTGCAGGATTACAGGCTGAGCCACTGAGCCCGGCTGCATGATGATTTTGTAACGCAAGACTTTACCAAAGTTGGTTATCAATTCAAGGAGGTTTTTGACAGACTCCTTAGGGTTTTCAAAGTATAGAATCATATCATCCATAAGGAGGGATAGCTTAACTTACTCATTCCCTATTTGGATACCCGCTATTTCCTTCTCTTGCCTGATTGCTCCAGCTAGGATTTACAGCACTATGTTGAACAGGAGGGGTGAGAGTGGGCATCCTTGTCTTCTTCCTGTTCTTAGGGGTAATGGTTCCAGCTTCTGCCCATTGAGCTAAATGTTGACTGTGTATTTATCATAGATGACTCTCACTGCTTTGAGGAATGCTCCTTCTATGCCTACATGCTCAAGGGTTTTTATTGAGAAGGGACGCTGGATTTTGTCAAATGCTTCTTCTGAATCTAATAATATCATCACTTGGTTCTTGATTTTACATCTGTTAATGTGTTGTTTAAGTTTATGGTCTTGCAAATATTGAACCAGCCCTGCATCTGAGGAATGAAGCCCACCTGGTCATGGTGGACAATCGTTGAGATGTGTTGTTGAATCCAATTTGCTAGAATCTTGTTGAGAATTTTTGTGTCTA